CTTTCCTGTGGGCTGGGAGCAGCAGGAGGGATGGTTGCTGGAAAGCCACTTCCTCTGGACCAGGAGCAGTGGGATGGCGGCTCAGAAGCCCCTACCTCTGGGCCGGGAGTGGTGGGAGGGATGGTGGCCCAGAAGCCCCTTCCTCTGGGCCAGGAGCGATGGGACAGAAGGTGGCCCAAAAGCCCTTTCCTCTGGGCTGGGAGCAGCAGGAGGGATGGTGGCCAGGAAGCCCCTTCCTCTGGACCAGGAACAGTGGGACGGTGGCTCAGAAGCCCCTATCTCTGGGCCAGGGGTAGTGGGACTCAGTACCGTGGTCTGGTGGTCTGGTGTCCTCTGCGTCTTTGTAGTGTGGAACCAGGTGGCTGTACAGAGGAGCAGGGTGTGGGGCGTCCAGTGGATTGTTGCCGGGGCGCGGGCTGATTCGGCGTCTTCCATGAGACTCGGGACTTCGGCAGGGCGTGCGCAGACCACGTATGTCGTTTTTTAAACTCTTTGACTTTCTGTTAGCCCTGTGCCCTCTCTTCCTAGTGGGAGTACGGACTTCCTAGGAATAGTGTGGAGAATCTCCGCTTTGGGCAGAAGGCCCAGTTCCCACGCTTCCCCGCGTCTCCCCGTCCCAGCTCTGGGGGGCGGCTCCCTCCAGCAGCCACTCCTCCCCCAGTCGGGGGGCGGGGGGGAGCTTTTGCATTCGGTACTTTTCTGTTTTCAGGATAAATTATAGGCAGAAGAAAAGTTTTTATTAGGGGGAATTTGAAGGAGTACAAGCATTTTTTTTTCCCTTGAAGGCTCTTTTCAAGTTTCTTTCAGAGTTGAAGAAACCCTCTTAGAATATAAGGTGAATTTCGCTTTGACAGGACTTCCTTTTTGATTTCCTTTAACACAGCTGCACTCTTTTATTTGTTTGATGGCTGATTCATTGCATAATGGCAGCATCCCGCAGAACCTGGGATGTAGAAAAGGCCTGGCCACGTCACTTCCAACTTGCTGACCACTCCCACATATGGCTGGAATAGTCAGAAGCCCAGCAGTGCGGGATGTTTTCCAGAGAATTGTCCAGGGTTGCGGGCCACGCTGCCCTGTGCCCGGAGACCGACGGCCCCCGGGCTCACACCCAGCGCCACCTGCTGGCCGCCCAGAAGGCCCTGGGAGCCACGGTGCTTGCTTCTTGTAAAGGCTGCAGCTCCTGAGTCCACAGCGCTTTTAAAGCGTTTGGGGACTTATTACCTTTATCTGCATTTCACTGCGGCATAAACCCTTGAATATGTCAGTATGCAGAAGTGTAATAAAAAATCTAAACAGTAGTGAAATTCAAGTTTCCGGGTACTCATCAGTCCTGTGTTCACCAAAGTGCAGGCAGTGGTGTGATAACTCGCGGGCAACCAGAGCCTCGCCTGGAGCGTCCGGGACCTCTTCAGGGCCGAGGTCTGCGTCACGGGGCGGGTGTGTGCATCTCTCAGCCCAACGTGTCCCTGACAGATTTTTCCATGCCGGGCATTTCCTGCTTAAAAGCGAAAACACAAAATGCAGATGGAGGACGCTCTCTTTGCACGGTGGTCAGGAAAAGCACCTTCTCTCTCCTGCCGATCTCCCACCCTGGCCTGTGGTCCCGCAGCCGTCCACACCCCATCACCTTCCTCACTGAGGACCTGTGCGCGCACCTCACGGTGCCTCTTCCCGGGGTCCTCCCCAGCAGGGTCTCTGGGCTGAGGGGACAGTGGGCAGGGAGGCCGGGGACCGGCAGGAGCATTCACTGTCTAAGTCTCGGCCCTGCACACCCAGCTCTCCTACTTGAGCACGGCATCTATCGCTTCTTTCCCTCTCCATTTAATTCGTCACGCAGCAGTTACCACCTCCCAAAGCGACGTGACAGTCACACGAACTCACCCTTGAGACGTGTCCAGCACACAGCAGGTGCTGGTAGGATTTGCTGCTGCTCACGGTTTTGCTGCCAGGGCTGGAGCTGGGTGTGCAGTGAGAGCTGGCAGAGCCCCTGCCCTCACTGGACTCGCTCCTGGCCATTCGGGCGACAGCTTCGCCTCCCTGCCAAGCTGCTGGGCATGGAATCTCCAGGGAGATGAGGTGTGACAGCAGGCAGCTGGCACCTGTGCCTGCCCCCTGAGGAGAGGGAACAAACACACAGCGCACAGCTCTCCAGGGGAAGTGCAGCGGAGACACACGCATTACACTCTCATCTCGTGAGGGGCACCCCTGTGGGACCGTGGTCACTGGGTCCCTGTCCATCCAGGTCCTTCACTCCTCCTCCTCCTGGCCAAGCGCCTCGAAGGATGCACAGGATGGGGCTCGGGGCCTCTGAAACATGCTCAGGCGTTGCCCCCTCTCCTCCTGGGGGCGTTTGTCCCTGTCCCTTCAGACCCTCCCCTGCAGACATTTCTTCCGCCCCCCAGGGTCAGGGACAGGGCCGCTGGGACTGCTTGGCACCTTCTGTGCCTGCTGAGTCCTGGACGCTCAGTTAATGTCTGCTGGAAGATGCAGAGTCGTCCTGAATCCTCCTAGGAATAAATAAGAAAGCAGTTAATTTTAGGAAAAGTAATAGTTAGCAACAGACTCCTATTAAAGTTCATTCTAATGGAGAGAGTATGATTCTATTTGGGGAGTTCTTGGGTGTAGTCATAAACAAGTATAGAAGCCAGTGTTTTGGCGAATACCTGAAATCCCAGTACCTAGGAGGCTGAGGCAGGAGGATTGCAAGCTGAAAGCCAGGCACAGGCACTTTAACAATTTAACAAATCCTTGTTTCAAAATAAAGTGAATAAATAAAAGGTTGGTGTGTAGCTCAGTTCAAAGGGCCTGGATTCTATCCCCAGTGCACAAAAGAGAAAAAAGAAAGAAAGAAAGAAAGAAAGAAAGAAAGAAAGAAAGAAAGAAAAAGACAACACTCCCAGCCTTCCTTTTCAAGTGGAAATATGTTTCTATCATGAATATTTTATGAAAATTGAATTTTATGGGTGTTTACTTACTAGTAACAGAAGCACATTGCCATATAATCAACTCATACACATTCATTAATCAACTATTTGGTTTGATATCTATTTCTAAGGCTTTTTTCTTTCCTACTGCCTTGTCTCTTGAATATTTCTCCAAATGGTTTATTTCTATTAAGACATGGGAAAGACATGGTAAATCTAGGCTCTAAGCAATAGTTTTTACTTTCTCTAGAAAAAACAGTGAAAGATACAAAGTCAGCATTTTAGTCACGTTCTCGTGGCTGGGACAAAACACCCAACACTCACCACTGAAAGGAAGGGAGGTTTACTCTGGCTCGTGGTTTGGGGGAATTCAGTCCATGGTCTGCTGGCTTCAGGGCAGGAAGGGCATGGCAGAAGGGCTGGTGGAGGGGCGCTGCTCAGGGCAGGGCGTACCTGGAACAGAGAAGGGAGGAGCGGGGAGGGAGATGAACCCTTCCAGGCCCGGCCACAGTGACGCCCCTCCCTGCCAGGTCCCGCCGCAGTGACTCCCCTTCCCGCCCTGCCCACCCTGGATCACTCCACAGAGCCTCACCTTGCACACAAACAAGGCCCTTGTCACCTGGTTGCCAGCCCCTAGGCAATTCTGTGAGTTTAACAATGAGAGAGGCTAAGGCACAGAGATTAACCAATTTGCCTGAGGTGACTGAAAAATGCAAACCTTATTTGAATATTATGCAAGTATTTCCTACTTGCCTACTACTATGTGCTGACTAAAAGCTTAACATTTTTCAGGTCAGTGTAAAAAGTATCGCCTGCTTCACTGCAAGTGCAAGTCAAGCCTGTCTTCTGTGGAAATGTTTTGGGGTTTTTTTTGTCGATACCAATTTCTATTATTCAACAGTTACGTCCCTTCTTCTCTGGAAGAAACATTAACATTGGTGCCACATCAAACATTATAAAACTTCCTTACAAATGGCGCGTGGACTTAGTTCTGTATTTTCAATTACAACATCAGTATACGTTCTTTCTGAGTCGCTTCAGCGTCTGATTTCGGGTGTGTTTTCAATCAGACACACGGGCATCTCTGTTCGTGTTCTCATTTTGCTCCTTTCCTTTGGTGGCATGCGACGTTCGTGCTGAGAGCTCACCACTCGTGTAATGCGCGTTTGTGCTGTCCTTTCGGGGTTACTGACTTTAAACCTCTTTTGTTACAGGTTTATGTCATTGGATAGCGAATGCTTTTTGAGGGCTTCTGGCTTCTCATTCTCCAACGAGTAAACTTTTACTGCCACCTTGTGGTGAAGGAGAAAATTAGCGTGCACAGCGTACGTACTTTATTTTATTTATTTACTTATTTATTTTTCTAACTTCTCAGGTCTTTTTATTCTCCCCCCCCCCATTAAGTTTGTTGGTACATTTTAGGTATACAATACAGTTACATTCTTCATTGGGATCTTGTACCTTTACATGAGTATCTTGGTTCTTATCTTTTTCCCCTTCCCCTGCCCTCCCTTCACCCCCTCCACCCTTCCCTATTT